CCAGGTTCAGTGATATATCAGTCAGGCACGTTCATTCTTGCAGGGAAAAAAAAAAAAAAATCTGCATGAAGTCACAATATAAACGTGATTCTGTGGCCGCCCTACCTCCTGTGCCGTCTCCTCTGGTGAAGTCTCCACCCTGGATCATGAACTCTTTGATGACTCTGTGGAATTTGCTGCCCTTGTAACCGAATCCTTTCTGTTTAATTAGAGCACAACATAAAAACAACAATATGAATATGAACATGAACATGAACATGAACATGAAACACATTTCAGCTGCCAGTAACTGACATTTTAGACCACGTGAATCTGAATCAAATGACTTATTCAAAAATGCGTCTCCAGGACACGGCGGCCAGGATGTTGATCACAAGTTAAAGTATAAATTACAGCTCATTTCAGCCACAATACGCACTATGTCCTGTTAGTGTGTGAAAACTGAAGGATGTTGTAATAATTGTGCATCAATGTCTGTTTCAACAATTGTTCTTCTCAATCACAGTCAGCAGTGCAAACCAGAGCAGTGTGGGTGCAAATTATACACAAACTGTACGACAAACTAAAACAAAGGCTCAATTTCTCACCTCTCCTGTTGCCAGGGCAACAAAGTTGTCAACAGTTTTGGGAACAGTTTTCCCAAACACCCCGATGACAATTCTTCCCACATCTTCATCTCCAATTCTGATGTCGAAGAACACCTAGAAAAGATGTTAAGTTATTTTATACTCCAGTCTCTCTCATGGTCAGAATTACTTTCTCTACCTTTATACTTACTGATATTTTAAATCAGAATCGATGGGTTGATGTAATTGTACAGGCACAGATCTTTCAATAGGTTACATCTTATAATGACAAAGATTTTTCTTCTTTTACATATTATACACTTAATATAAAGCTTAGATACACTGTACATTTTCATTTGACAATTGCTCTCCTTTGGTTGAGGAGTTTGCCTGCAGCTATTTCAGTGTAATGGCTTTGAGTCAAAAGGATTTTAAAGAGACATTCAGCATTTGTAGGACTGCAACTAATGATCAATTTCATTACCAATTAATCTAATTAGCTTTTATTATTTCAATTACCTACTTAATCTTTATCCAAAAATGCCAAAATATTGTGAAAAAAAGGCCCAACGGATTTTCTCCTAGCCTGATGATGCATTAAAAATGTCTTGTTTTATCCAACTAACAGTTGAACAGTTTACCATCATGTCTGACAAAAAAAAAAAAATAAAAAAAAAAAATAGATGTAAATCCTAACATTTAAGGAGCTTGAAAAATGACTACAATCAAATATTTGATCATCAAAACAGTTGCAGTTCTAATCCTCTGACACAAGATCAGCCAGGATTTTCTTATAACTAGAACATAATCAAATTTTAGTATTTTTATTTTCTCTTCAGTGCTCTTTAGCCAAAACAAAGTTATTTCCAAATCAAAATTTCACTCTATACAACAAGAGCTGCTCTTCTAACTGAGCATTTACGGTAACTGTTTTAACAGACATGCATTTGTCAAAATTAGGTTTGGGCTTGTCTATAAGATTCATTTCTTATAGATTAATAAGTTTCAGACAGAGGAACTGGTCTGCTTCTGAAACAAAGAGCCTGCGGGTCACCTACTGACCAGTTCAAAGCTCGCTTGTAACTGTAGACGTGGACAAACCTGCTGCACCCAGACATAACATCTGCGAGCCTCCCTGGGCTGCAGCCAAGCGGGTTATATAAAGGAGGACTTACTCTGTAGATCAAGCCTGCGGCTCTAATTAAAGCTTAAAACGATGTAGAGCAATGGGTGCATTTGGAAATACAGACTGTTAAGGCCGGAGTCCTGGCGACTACAGCCAGCTCCACTGAGCCGATGCATGCCTATGCCATTCAAGGTTGCTGTTTTGAACTTGCAACAGTAGCTAACCCGGTTGCATGCAAAAAAATCAATACGATTGTAAGAGACTTAACGGCAGCGGCCACCATTAGCTTAGCAGCAGAGAAGCCCACCGGCCCTAACTGTAAGTTGCACAGCTAGAGGCTAACTTAGCTAGTGACGTGGCTTTACAAGCTGTTAGCATTAAAGGGTTAGCACTGAGGAAGAGCTTTGATTCGCCCGCATGAACCACCAGCACAGCCAGCAGCCGCCTACCTTCGCAGTCACTTTGGGGCCTTTCTTCTTCTCGTCGGCGGAGGAGCCATTTGGGAAGGCGAGGAAAATCAACGATCCCACAATGACCGTTACAGCGACGAGGAACTTCATCCTTCTCTCGCAGAGTCTAACCATCAACAAGAGAAAAGGAGCAGCCCGAGAGGACGGCCTGTTAGTCGTGTTAGCTTTATAGGAGCCGGGAGAGGGGTGGGTGGGGTTGGTGGAAGGAGAGCGGTGTCCGGGGTGGAGACTGCAGCGGCAGCCCCTCCAGGCTCCGGGCTGCGCTGCCTCGACCGCGTAGGGGCCGCACGTCAGCACGGCGGGGGAGACGCACGGAGCTCTGATTGGTGAACATCCCGAAGCCGGTCCATCCAATCAGGTGCAGACGCGTAACAACGCGACCCAGCTAGAGCTGTAAAATAAAAACGATGAATCAAAAAAGTGTGTTCACATCAAATGTTCATATCATATCACTCAACGATGGACCCCAGATCCTCAAGGGCGCCAAAAGTCTCCATATCATTTGGTCTACACAAGTTTGATTAATCACCACTGAAGTACAATCATCATCTGTAGCAGGTCATCCATCCTCCATCATGTGCCTGGTCTCAAAATCTAGTTTTAAGACCCTGATTGAGCACAATTGTGGTAAAGTTATGTTTCAATAAACTGCTGCAATTGTTACAGTATGAAGAACACACAGAAAACAGTTATTAATCCATTATAGGAGAAGTTTAGAGCTGCAACCAATTTTCTTTTTCAACACATCTGACTATTATTTTCTTTAACCTGATAAAATACACCCTCCCACCCCTGGGACCCCTTGGCCTTGGTATCCTGCAGTGGGTGTATTTTGGTATGTGCCAGACTCATTCTTTACACAATTTGACAAATTAAATGCTGTTTGAAAGTTTCCTGATTCTATCTGTGTAAAGCGTCATAGGACCTATATATCACTGCACCAGCTGTTGACACAGAATTGCAGGCTGGTGGTTATAGCTCCAAAGTGTTTTCCATTTGACATGTACTATTACAGACCTTATATTCCCCTTTTTTTTTACACCGTGTTTCTTCCTCTGTACCTTTGGTTCAGTATCTTTTATCCTCATTCTGACTTTCTGGTTGTAAAATTTGAAGAGTGGCCTGTCAAAGGAGACAAGGGTAGAAGAACATTAACCATTTTATTTTGGTTACCTTATTTTTACACTGGTGCACAATAATATGGGTGTCTGGTAACAGGTTAATAATCAAATGATTGTTTAGTGAAATGTCAGAAAATAGTGAAAGAGGCCCATCGCTATTCCCTGAAGCCCAAGTTATCATATTCAAATAGATTTTTACTGTCTGACCAACAGTCAAAAAAAGATGTTGAGTTTACTGTCATAGAAAGCTGAGAAACTAGCAAATATTCACATTTGAGAAGCTGTTACCAGTGAATTTTACCAAGTTTACCTTGTTACCCAAATTTTTGCCGCTTAATTTTCCTTCAATCAACTGATTGATTAGTCAACTAATCATTTCTGCTCTAGAGTACTAATTGTTTCCTCTAGAGTACTAATTATTGTGTGGGAAAATAATGAAGTGTCCATGTACAGAGTGGGTCCATAAAGCCCCAACAACAAATTTTTACCATCCATCATCCATCCCAAAAATATATGAGACATCTGTCTAAAGACTTAATCAGTATCAATACAGTAATCTGATGTAATTTGGTATGAGACTAACAATCCAGTCATACTTCATAAATGCTGGGGGACTCAAAGCTCTGGTCATAACAGATATAGGTTTGTAGGTTTATGTCTTTCTCATATCCTGAAATTTGTGAAATGGTATTTTGAAAACGACAAATTTTGCAGTATGGTGAATCTTAGTATCTCTTTGTCCTTGAGCAAGAAAAAAAAAAAAGCTGCAGGCCCCTACTGACACCATGCACCACTACCATCTTTCTGTATCCCGACGTCTTCAAGAAAACATTGAACAGATGTTGTACAGCAATATGCACCACCTCGGCACAATATATATTTAGTCTTCTACTAAACAGGATTCTGTTCTGTTTCCTCACATTTGCGACATAGAAGCTGCATTTTCCAACATTAGAACATTTTATCTTGCACTTGTGTAAACAGTGCTCGCAATGTTCTTTTGTCTAACAGGCTTCAGGGCGTCTTGATTAATACAAGGCTCAGTTTCTAGGACCTTGACATTGTGATCTACTTGCATATTCTTGAACAAATTTGCAATTAATCAAATCACTGCTTGAGATACAAACATTGAACCTGGGTGTTTTAGGGGCCTCTGAGGGCCCCCTGCCGTGGGGCAGCTGCCTGCTTTGCCTGGTTGGTAATCCAGCCTGGTTCCTGAAGGATTCACTGGGCTAAAACACAGGCGATGTATCAGCAGAAAAAACAACTTGTTTTCATCATCTTTAGCCCACACTGTTAAAACTTTTAGCAGCCCAATAAATATTGATGCTTCTACAGCACAAGTCACTTATACCACTTACTAACACTTTGTTTTACCAATGAATCTATTGAGTAATAAATACATTCATATATGATGAATAAACTGTCCGGAAATTATAAAAATATTCATTACTGTTTCTCAGAGCACAAGATGACATCTTCAAATGTCTTGTTTGTTTGACCAACAGTGAAGCAGAAGAAATGAAGAAATTTGAAATAAGCAAATATTCACCAAACTAAGACCAGAGAGATGCTTCGCATCATTTCCTGGCAAATGATTTTAAAACAATTACTGATTAATATCCTATCAATCAAGAAATTGATTATTCAACTAATCATTTCAGCAGTAACACAACACAGACGCAATAATCTGGAGGAACAAAATCACTACCGTCCATACACATTTTAATGACGTACTACAAGTAAATGAAACTTGTTGACAAATGTTAAAAACATGAGACACAAATTATGAAATGAGTAAAGTTGAATAGATTGTACTTGCTAAAAAAGGGGGGGTTTGGAGTTAAGGTTACATTCACCTTTGCGGGCACACCTGCCACTTCCTACTAGTGCAAAGAATTAATTCTGCTAAATGCCATACATCATCTTTTTGTTGTATGTTTGCATTAAGACTCCATTATTATTGCATGCCTTCAGTGGCCATTTGAGGTATACAAACACATTGTTCTGATAGTTACACACTGTACATCTAACATGATGCAGGCATTTCCAAATAAGTTTACAAATAAAACAACAACCAACCCATGAAAAAAAGCATAATTTACTTATATGCTAGAATTTGAATCAGGAAGCTTTTCTTGCAGTTTGCTGCACTGGAAGCTTTTAAGGTTTCCCAGCCAATCACGTCACATCATCACATTTTAGAACTGAGGGAAAGCAGTACCTGAAAAGTCGAACAAAACAGGAAGCAAAAAAGTACAGTAACCTTGATAATGTACCACCTACACCACATTTTGAAATTTAATCTTTAACTTAATTTATTGCCAACTGACTCTTTACATTAGCTGGCATGTGATTGTGAACAGAACTTTACTGCATAAAGAAGGAGCCCCTTCAAAATCATACTTGAAGTTGCCGTTAAACGTATAACATTTCATTATCTGATGAAAAATGAATAAACTCTCTGCAACAGGAATTTATAACATAGAGGAAGCAACAGAGATCTGAAACATCTTTATAGTGGGAGTGTTTGGACCAAAAAACAAAACAAAACTGAGAAAACAAACGCTGTCACACTGTCCAGTATTTTTATCCTCTCAGGACGAGTAACAAAAATGTCAAGTATATCTAGGTAAGTCAGATGCCCACGGGAGAATGAACGTTCAAGTGTTCTAGTTACTATTTGATGTGAATGTACAGGAAGAAACAAAGAACATCAAGAATACCACTTGGATTCTACCATATAGTAAGACACTCAACAGTTCCCAGTCAGACATAATTATATATGTGTGTTTATATATCTCAGAGGGATGACTGATGTGAAGCTTGATTCTAAGTTTGTTTGGCTCTGAAAGAGGAATAAAATATTTAATTATAATATTTAAATTCTATTTTCTCAAGGCACAGCATACTGAAGATATGCAGGTCAAAGTAAATTAAGTGAGCCAACAAAACTCTTTGAAGTTTGTGAAGATGGCTTTGATCTGTGCACAGTGCATAGAGTCAGGCCGCCTCACAGCCCAGTCAGATCCAGTTCTGTGGAAGTTCTGCCTCAGTTTCTGCGTCCGCCGGAGGATTTAAGGAGGGAGGACACAAGAGAGCGAAGCAGGCTGGAGGAGTCATCAGGCAGGATTTAAAACTGTCGCCGCTGATCACATTTTTAAACTCAGGAGTGTTAGGAAAGGCGACGCAGAACCTGGTTCGGGACACAGAGGTTTTGAACTGGTTCAGAAACGTGACTCCAACCCAACAGCCACAGCTGCAGGTGGGACTTCACTGGGTCTTTTCAGCACATCCCATCAACATTTTACAGTCAAAGAGGGAGTGAAGCAAGCCTCAGAAGGGCTGCTGCGTCTTTAACTCTGAGTAAACTAGTCCTTCTGCTGAGATGGCGTCCCCGAGCCCAACTGTCCGAAGCGGCTGTTTGCAGACCAGCACCGGTGTGAGGTGGAAGGTGACGTTTCCACGACGCCACATTGTAACAGGATCTGCTGGGTTCAGGGACAACTTCTCTCGTGGCTCAAAGTGTGAGCTGTCAAACTCTACTGGGGCTTTGAGCTCCACTTTGCTAACGTCAACAGACTGGAGACCACAGGCCTGGCTGCTGGCCACTCGTGCACCTGCCATGACTGCTGCTGCCTGGTTCCCCCAGTAACCATCCACTGTGGCCAGGATGTGGTAGGCCAGCGTGTGGAAGTGAATGCGAGTGAGGTCCGCCTCCGACGACGGGTCGCTGCGGCCGTGCTCCTCCAGGATCCAGAGGAGGATGTCGCTGACCCGGCCCACGTCCGGGATGCTTTTCCAGGCAGCCAAATCTGCATGAGGCCCCTCACCAGCCTGAGAGAGGAAGAGCAGCTCCTGCTCGTTCAGCCCAATGGAGCTGACGATGGGCATAACCTGCTAACAGGAAACAGACGAAAAACCTTAATTAAAGACACAGAACTCTTGAGGGATTAGTGAAATTTGAGCACACTCAACTTTTCTGTGTGAGAGACTTCATGAAAGTCTCCCACAGAAAACAGTTTTCCACATGTACCTCCTGCATGATGCTGTTCATGTAGTCTTTGTCAGTCATGCTCGCCAGCTCCAGGTGGATGGGAATATCTTTACGAATGTCAGATATGGCTGACACAGCCTGCGAAGAGTAAGCAAGCACCCAGAATCTATATCACTTGAGTCAGTGCCATGTGACCATGCATACCGTACACATACCGTACATAATAATAACACATGATTGTTAAAACACAATGGCAACAGTAAGTCTACAGTTAAACCGGTCTGAACTGAAGTGAATCAGTGTGTAGACATTACATTCCACATTACTGCCAAACATTTTCCAAAGAAAAGCACAGTTTTTCAACTGATGGATGTTATCATTTTTTATTAATATTCACTCCCACAAACTAGTGGAAAAGATGTGTAATCCTTCACCTTTACTTCTTACTGCACTATGACACCTCAATAAATGTTTTCTGTGATACAGTAACTGAACTTTAATATCTTGAGACTGGACAGCAGAAATAAATAACACATTATATCTGTGTGATTTGCAGTAAATGGGTCACAATGTTCAAAAACAACAGCCTTGTTTAATAAAACAAATTGGTGGAGATACTGTAAAACTTTCAGCCACTGACCTCTTTCAGTCGATCCTCCCACACGTCTCTGCCCTGACCCTCCATCATGTGGAGCCCCGACAGCACGACCAGGTCAGGCTGAAACTCCTCCAGACTCGCCACAAACGTCTCAAGTGAACTCATCTCCCCGTTGGACATGTCGTGGGAGAAGATGAAGCGGTTGGCTTGAGGTGCCTGAGTTGAACCCCACTGTTCACCTAGAGACAGAGAAGTGGACTAAATACAACTTTAACAGACTGAAGGGATCTGGTTGAGAGCTACAGATCCTGTAATGGATGGCTGCAGCTTGTTGTTCTCTTTACCTGCTTTATACTCCAGGATGAGGTGAAATTCATCCACCTCCTGGAGAGAATCCGGGGGAACAACTATCTGCTCATCCAGCATCTCATGGAGTTTAGGACCAACTGGCCCACACAACAAAACCTGTGGTATAAGAATAAATATTAACACTCAAAATTTACTTCATTCTGAACCAATCTGGTCCATCTGTGTTGAAATGCTGCTCTACAGTTGGGCTGTCATGTTGCAAAATAATTTCATTTGGGGAATTATTTACTGTATAACACGGGGATTTTAACAGGAAATGTGCTTCATAAGATTTTCAAAATATTTTTTAATGGAATTATATCTGAAGGCCACACATTATAAGTGTGTTCGCAAGGTTGAAAAAGCACCTTTTTATGTCCTAAAAATTTGCTCTTCTGATTCTCTTCACGTTTTTTCCATGTTTATTATCAAACTGATTTAACTGACAAGGCCAGACAAATCTTAAATAGTTCATTAATTTTGATGAAGTGCAAGAGTTTTAGACAGAAGAAGAGACGTGGTACTGTACCATCAGATCAGGGTAGGTGGCGAGCTTCTGACCAATGAGGGCAGCGTTCCCTCCCACATACAGCTGCAAGACGACAAAAGTAAAAGTAAACGTTTTATCAGAGGGAAGATCTCTTAAAATGATAAAATATATAAAGAAAAAAATTCATCCTCTGGGAAAGGTTGGGGAGGAAGGTAGCCTTGCCTTCGCACCGGGGTATTCTGCTGCTGCACGTGCAATCCTCTGAAAGACCTCTTTGTTGGTGAAGAAGCGCTCGGCAGCTGCTCCACGCCCCATGTAATGGATGAAGGCTTCCTTCAAGTCCTCTTTGGAGTGCAACACTTCGTGATCCAGGCCAGTGCCAGGGTCCACAGCCAGAGCCTGCAGCAGTCCCACTCCAGAGACGACCACATCGACGCAGGCATTTACACTGAGCAAAAGAGCAAATCACGACAGTATAAGAGAAATACTGAGTACAGGTTATTTGGCTGTTAATAAAAAATAATAATAAATTCTGTCTTGAATTAAAAACAATCCCTAACATATAAATAGTACATACTTTTTTGGTGTCTGCTGCTAGCCTGATAATCACACTAAATTGTCAAAGTGAAAATCTATTTAAACCTATTTCTGGATGAATGTCAGGGTTTTGTGCAAATACAGACAAATCCATTAAAAAGTCTGTCTTAAAGTGAACGAAAAACTGAACAAATCCCGTCCTTAAGTAAGACTGACTCATTTTGAACTTGGGGTATTTATCCACTCAAATGTAATTTGGGGTGACCAGCTAACTCGTCTTATCATATAAAGCTGCATTTCACCCTTAGCTTAATTGTCATAATAGCAACTAGAGCAATTTCATTGGACAGGTGTGCATCTGGCCATCAGCTGGCAAAAACATTTAGATTGAGGTCTATCTTTTTAATTTCTGCATCATCTGCTGCTTCCTGATCTAATAAGTTAAGTAAGTTTCTACAGTCATCAAGTTAAGTTTAAGTCCTTTTTACTATCACATAAAACCATCCAGAATGATAATAAGGCCTAGAATTATTTATGCAGAGTATGAATTTATAGATATTTAGATTTTATTTATTTTTGTTCCAACTATATAAAATAATAATTCCTAATAATACATTTAATGAAAAACATTACCTGGATAGGCAGCAGACAATGGATGGATGGATTAATAACTTATTGACTTATTACTTATTTATACACTGTGCCATGGATCACTTTTGATCAAATCTGAAGGATCTGGTAAAATTTTAGATTCACTGTGACTTTATAAGCAACTTTAGTTGTAGAATTAAAGAAAAATAAACCATTCCCAAACAATACATAATTGTTCTCTCCCTTCACAGCTTTCCTTGGGAGAAACAATCTGTCCCTCCCTCTGGTGGGCAGTCCTTCAGCTGCAGCCAATCACCATCTACCACCTTTAAAACACTGACGTGTGTTGGCTGCTCTAAAGCAGCCAAAAGGCTATTGGCTAGGTATAGACAGTAAAATAATTCACTGGGGCACCGCTGTCTTGGACCAGGCCATCTGAGCTGGGACTGACTCATGATCACACATTCCTTCTCACTAGCAGAGCCTCTCAATATGCCACAGTGTACAGCAGAGCTGCAGGAGCACAGATGCAGAAATGAATACTAACTTCAGGCGACAGCTTCTTGGACTAAAGAAAGACATCTATTTCTTAGAGGAATCTGGATGTCAGTTCAACTCTGTAACTCACCCTACGGCCACTTTGCTCCACTGCCGGGTAGGTAAAGTTATCAAAGTCTCCCAGGCAGCAGAAATCACCTGCTCCAGGCTGTTCTGACTGGTGAGACTGTGAGATGATGACTGAAAGATTGGCAGGCTGATATACTGCAGAATCTGCTCTGGCAGGTCTGGGCCACCATGGTAGAAGTAGCCAACAGCTAACGCCAGAAGGGCCGCTACTGAAGCCTTCCTCCACATGACGCTCCCACACACTCCTGCAACAAAGGAAATCTCTCAGTTGTCTCATATTAACCATTTGAATTAAAACCTGATCAGCTGAGTTATTGTGGTCCTCAGTAATGACATTAAGGGGCTGCGTACAGGTAAGCTGGTATCTAAAAATACCACTCAGTTGATAAGGTATTGCTGGGTCTGATCCAGCCAGCACAGTAAACTGTCAAATACATATCAATTCCTGTTAAATGCTGATGATGAAGAACCTGGAAAAAAATGAAGATGCAATAATGCTAAAGTCATATTAAAACCTCAAATATATCCATAAAACAGCCATGTTCATTGATTTGCAATATTGACAGCAACAAACAAAAAATGTCAAATTTGATATGTTCTCACACTATAAATACACACATACTATAATCACTCAGCCCTGGCAAAATTAAGATGTACAGAAAATTGGTGAAGAAAGATCAACAGAAACACAATCAGCAAATATTTTGATTATTGATTAAATGATTAATCACTTTAATCACCTTGTTCCAGTTTAAGCATTTGGTACTTTTCTTTTTCTTATGTGATACTAAACTGAATATCTTTAAAAATGTTTTATTCTCATTAGTTTAAACAAAAATGCATGTTTACAGTAAATCTATCAATCTTATTCTATATTTTATTCTATACGGTTATTGAGTAGATTTATCTTGTTTTTTCTTTTACATTGCTGTGTTGTTGTGGGTCCCCCTTGAAAAGGAGATAGCCTATCCGAAGGGGTTCAGCCTTATGTAATACATTTGATATGTTGTATATACAAATATATAATACATACATTAAAAACATCTTATGGGAACCGAGAGTGAGCAGATACAACAACACAACGCAGCTTCAAAACTTAGTTTCCATGTTACTCAGAAGTACAGTGTAATAAACATGCTCTGCCATTTAAGCCTCATCCATACCAGTATACAGGCTTAAGTTATTGCTAACGTGGACACACTCAGTCTGTTAGCTCAAATGCTAACACCAGCACACAGGGTGCATCTCTGACCACAGATAATCAAAGCTAATCTGACAGTAGCTTTCGCCAGCTCGGTTTAGAAAGCTCGTTTAGACACTGGCAAGCAATGAGACTTTGAGTACAGGACAGTTTACACCTCAGCTTCAATTAACAGCGGTTGTTAAAAGCGAAGTAGCTTCTTAGTTGGGTGTTAGCGGCACGTACCGATAAATGTGCAGGCTTCAGATTTGTCTGTTAGGAAGAGGAGTCGCTTTCCTGTTCTTTCACATACGGAGCGGTTCAGTTTCCTGGATGCCGCCGGTGGAGGGAGAGGTAGCTGGAGAAGTGAGAGTCGGTGCAAGTCATTGAAGGAGCAGCGACGACCGGGAATTACATTCAACACACATACACACACATACACACACATACACACGTATACACACTCTGAGGCGGTAGCTGAGCGGCTTCCGTCGAACGCTCCGCGCATGCGCGTCAAAGAAGCTCAGCGGTACATATGGTACATGCACGAGTTTAAATTTGAAATAACGCAAAAACAACGGGTAAATGTATTTTTAGCAGGATGTAACTTATTTAAAAATGCACATATTGTCTCGTGTGTTGTTGGTTAATGTAACTGCATGCATTTCACTTCAGTATTCCTGGGAATTATTGGATTATTCTGGTGAACTGGATGATAATTTGGCATGTATCAACAGGAAACAGCACAGACTAGATGCAATTACTCATTATTGCTGCTTAACTTTCAGGGCCCTGCCATTGTTCACCTGAATACAAATGAGCCATGTTAATTAATGTTATTGTTAACACCTGTGCTTTCTGTCTGTTCTGCCGTGAAAAAGGCCTGTTTAAAAAATACAATTACTTTATGTGATATACACAAAGAAAACTCTTTACCTACATACTAGAGCTACAAGAATTACTTGCTTAATCAATGGGTGGATCCACAGAGAATGAACGATATTGATATATCATTTAGGTATGATTGATTTTTTTCAAGCAAAAGTGTCAAAGATTCTTTGGTTATAGCTTCTTCAATGGTATAATTTGCTGGTGTAAATGTAATATCGTTATGTTTTGGACAGTGGATCAGACAGAAAAAGACATATTGATGTCACATTTGGTTCTAGGGTATTGTGATGGGCTTTTTTTTTTACTGTTTCCTGATGTTCAATCGCTCAAATGATTAATCAATTAACTGATAATGAAAATAATTGTTAGTTGTACTACATGTACTCAGTTATGCAACATTAATCCAAAGTAATGAAGAGTTTGTGCAGTTTTTATAAAGACCTCTCCTAAAAACCCCACAAAAGATACATGGAATTACACTGAATAAAAATAATAAGGGATAGAAAGACCTACTACAAAGTGAAGAGAAAACGCGCTTTAGAGTTAGTTTCAACAGTGAGTCCAAATTTCATGACCTATTCTCAGAGACATTCACTGAGTGTTGTGTTACTTATGTTGAGTTAACTTTGATCTCTCGTCTTTGTTTATGAAGGTTTTAAACCTTTCAGCCAGTTCAGGAAATGTACACAGTACACACCTTGTACTAAGTATCTAAGTATTTAAGTATTTTACTTTCATCCTGAAATAAGAGCACTTTCAGTTTCTGCATATAACATCCAGAAAATTAACTTTTCTGGTTTAATTTTGTTCCTTTAACTATTCAGGGTGAACAGGTCCTGGACTTGAATTGGAATTAACCACGAGGCTAATTAGACAGCAATAAACCATAACCAAATAACATAATTAAAGACCCAGAACCTTTCCTCCTGCCTTGTATCCTTCAGGCAAATAAGCCTGCGTGTTCTACCTGAACTGCTTGTTGCTGCATGTAAACTATTTTGCTTGAGGCAGAGGTGAGGCGGGGCACCTATGGAGAAAGCCGACACCCTCTACTTCTGCATACTGTATGTAAATCTCAAATGTCAAGCACTGACAGTCATGATGTAATATCAAAACCTTCTAAAAAGATGGTCCCCGTCTGAAAAATAGTTTCCCTGTGAAGCTGAACATGAGCTATTATCCTCAATAGAGTTGTTCCTTATCATTAAACTGTGTTTTTAAAAGGTGGACAACACATGTTGGAACAAAAGTCACAGGTTTTCTCTGTAAAAATGATGTTTCTGAAATATTATAAGCAATATAGAATAAATTGAAACAAGGTTTTGGAATAAATTTTCTGGACTGGTTCCCTTTCAAGAAGAAGATGTTTGAATCTGTGTGTGTGCACATTTCTCAACCAGCTTCTCACTATGAGCGACAGCAGAGTAGCTTAGATTTAATGTTAAAGTCCTGTTTAATAACTACTACAGATGTTTTTTTTAATCCACATTTAGACTTTATTGCTGATTTAGCCATGAATGTTTGAGGTTATAAAAAAACCCACTTTGAATTGAGATGAGTTTTCAATTTAATGAACACATCACATATTTTGTTTATATGTAAATGATACAACAGCTCTGCCATGAATTCTACCTCTGCAGAGATAATTATCATTTTGATTGACGCTATTGGAGATAATATGTTGTAGTCCAGTTCAACAGCACTGCAAACTAAAACCTCAATAATAAACATATAGTTAAATCAATACAATCAAAACTGAACATGATTATTTACGTCTGAACAGTTATATTGAATTCTCTAACATTTTACAAGTGTGTCTGATGAAGGTATATTAACAAGAAAAGACTAAGAGAAAAATTTGAAAGAGCTGACTAAATCAGGGGTCCTTGGGGGGGGTTCCTCAATATAATTCCATCCATAATTCACACGATGACGGAATGTATGACTATTTTAGTCATGGGTTTGAAACACTTTCTGTAATAAAACATCCAAAAGCAAAAATCTTACCAGATAGGGGATCCTAATCTTATCAAATGTGTGTCATAAGCTTTAGAACCACTGGTCTAAACCATATTTCACTGTAGTCTAGTAAATCTATTAATTTTCTATAATAAGCCAATATGAAGCATTTTCAATTGATCAGTAGTCATGTCATCCACTGCAGGAAGTAATTGTTATTATAAACAGGAATCTATTCACACCACAGCTGCCTGATCACTGATCTGTAACAAAAGAAATGTGTTTTATGACAGTGTGACAAAAGCAGGATCAAGTCTCCTTCTGCCTTTAGTTTCTCACACTGAACAATGTGGATTTTCTTGTTCTGCAGCTCAGGTTTACAAAGAGAATTCATACAGGTTGAACTGTCTTTGATTCTTTATTACAATTTCGACATAAATAATAAGATTTTTTTAAAAAAGTACATACAGTAAATGTCAACTCCAAAAGTTTATGGTTACACATTTAAGGCTGGTTGACTTCAAATCTAAACTGTATGCAACTTCTACCCCCACCCCCCTCCCCACACCATTTGTCAATCTTTGACAAAAAACAAAAACTGTAAACAAGAATATTTTAAAAAGTAAACGTTGTCTGCCCCTGACATTTCAAGTACTTCTCTAAACTCTGTCTGTATGTCTTTTTAATTTTAAAATTAAATTCCCATCTATTCAGTTACAGTTTCACTAAAATAAAGACAAGACTCATGTTTCTGTTCATGTTTGCTTATGGCTGCAAAATAATGTCCCAACTTGATTAAAAACCAGTTTGTGAGTCATCTTCATGGCTAAAGAAACACTGATGCACGCAATGAGTGAATCTGGCTGCTTCTTCAAAACAGATATAAGTTTTCAAGATGGATTTTGGTCGTTGGCCTAAATGTGAGAACCTCACGTTTCTGGAAGAACAATGAACAGAGCAGCGACAACAAGGGCTGGATGATGGGTGTCGGTCCCACTGGGGCCAAACACAGTTTTTCTTTGTCATGCTCATTGCTGATGGCTTCTTCATTTATCTTTCTTGCTGGTATCATGTATTGGACTGTGCTCTATATTCTACTTTGACACTTTACTTTGACACACACACTTCACTGCATGGTGACTGTAATCTCAGGCCTCTATAGAAGTGGTGGGGTCAGGTTCAGTGAGAGTGGGGGCGGTGAAGCTGACCCGGACGCCCCGGGGGTAAAAACCCTGAAGAACCCCGTCCGCAACAATGTCTGGAAGATCTGCAAGATCAGACAGAGCTCAGGGTTTACACCGTGTGGACAAGGTTGTGATCCCTTTTTTTCTTAATGCTTTTCAATTCAAAACACCAAAGGACAAAATGCACACACAAGTACACACTCAGTAGCTGCTTCTCAGGGTTAAACTGTTTCAGCATGAACAGACTGCTGCAAGAATGAGTTCTAAAACCCAGAAATTAGTTTAGCATTTTAGCACTTTTAGCATTTTTTGAATGGGACTTTGGTTAGATGACTGAAATAAGGTCTGTGGTTAACACAAGCTCAAGACATTTTTACGTTTTATGCTACGACATAAAATATGTCCGTGAATATCCCAGTCATGATTTTTTAAACCTTTATGTTTTCTTAAAAAATGGCAGTTGCAAACAAGTGGCTAAATGAGGCTACACATTGTCGGGGACATTAAACATCCGCACCGATCTGCTCACCGGTCCGCCTTTACAACCCTGCTGTGTACTCACACTTACACTCATTTTATAAAAGGAAAGGCTTTAGTAAAAATCAACTGCAAGTTGGAAGTCATAGCCTAACATTAGCTTTTTACTTCTGCCAATTGTATTTGTTGGTGTTCATAGGTGAAGATTATCCTGCTGAACAAAACGTGTAAGTATCATAAATTTTTGTTTGTCACAGAGATTATTTTCTGCAGTAATCCAAAAGCCAACGGACGAATCCCATTGGCTTTTTGTCGAGGGAACCAGGGTGATGCTAACTTCCAGGTTCGCCTCCAAAAACACGTCATCCCTGCAGCACTCTATTGGCTCTACACAAAATGGTGCAGAAAAGAAGTCTGTTCTTCCTACCTGATGTGCAGTCAGAGAGATAAGGATCCTGAAAGAAGCCCAACACTCGCTGATTTGGTAACGAAAAACTGAGGAAACAAAAGCAGAACGTTATCGGTTAGTTTCATCCTCTAGTAATTGTAATGCATGTATACTAATATCAACTTTTATCCTTCCTGTGAAACAAGTTATCCATTACTATAACTGTACTAATGCATCAGGTCATGTTTTTATGTTGTGAAGCATGACAAGAAGGCCTGGTGCTGCAACAAGACAGAACAAGACAGAACAAGACAGAACAAGACAGAACAAGACAAGGGGAAAGAGTCAAGAATAACATGAACTACTGAATACAGAAGAAATGCATCGGAAAATTCAAATAAACATAATTTTTGTGAGCAGCTATCCATAGCTCTGTGGTTTAAATACATTTTTAATGAAATCTCAGCAATCCTAGAAAAAGAGTTATATCTTCCTGGCAAGTAGCATCATGGGAAATCTCTCAACTACAGTAGCCCGAAGGTCTCAATTCAGAGAGAAAATGTCATAAACCCCTGATGGATGACACACATAATTAAGACGCTGGAAACTGTGAATTTTTGGCATTTCCTGCACAAAAAAATACCAAAAGAATCGAACATCAGTGATGAAATTAAATGAAATTAAAAATTCAACTATAATTAGTTGACTGACAGAAATTCAATCACCAATGTTTCATCAACTGTTTGTGGTTCTAGGGGGAGTTTTGTTTCCAAGCATCCTCTTGAAGAATTTGTTTTTGCACGTCTAGTCACGTTCCAGGTGACTGTGTCTCTGGACCAGAGCTTCTACTTTATATAGACCATGTGATATAGTTGTAGTTATACTGTATATTGATATTCAGAGAGGCTGAGACATGCAGAAATATCACTGATGTTTTTAGAATTAAATATAAGATCTCGGTTATTACCTCTCAGGCTCTACATGGTTAAGCTCTGAAATGTTGTGTCCTCATGGAAACCTACAGTCTCTCAGGTCGGCGCCATTGAGATGTTCCCAATAACAGCGAAGGCAGACTGTGCATTTGTTGTCTTTACCTTTGACTATTAGATCATCCAAAACTCAGCCATTTATGATGTTTTTGCAGTGTTTGATGCTTTGTACTAAATGTTTTGTTTGTTTGCACTTTGTTACATTTGTTTTGATCTTTACTTACTGATTTATTGTCGTTATTATCATACATCTGTAATCGCTGAAATAATGCTATTTCAGACAGAAATGTGGAGGGGCTCCCCCCGAGTTGTCTCCTATGCACAGGGCTACATATTCCTACAGTAGTTACCCCTGTTCTAGTAGACACAATCCAGTATACAGTATATATTGTACTGCACAATGACTGAGAAATGGAAATAAGTATCTTACCTGTAATCTCGACTGTCCAGTTCCTCAAGGGACCTGAAATGAGAGAACGTAACTATTAGATATTTTCTGCAAGGACACAATTTTTTATTAAGAGGATGATGCAACAAGATACAGTACACTAATGTACTACCTGCCCACTGCTCCTTATTATTAGCTGATACGTCCCACACATATACAGTATGATCTAAAGTCTGAGACCACCACCTGTCTTATTTATTGAATAAAATACACAGAGACAGAAATAGTGACATGTAGCAAAGAATGTGAGCCAGAATTAAAATAGAAAAACACAGCTTTGTAGCTACTTTCAGTCCACTGAACGCACCAGGACATGTGTACCATTTAATATCAACATGTTTCTTCCTGCCTGATCTTCAGCTTTATTGTGGGTTAGAGCCAGTGCTGCTGCTCTGCATGACTATGCGAAAGGTTTCTGAAGTTTTATGATGTTGCTGCATTGCCCCCGATCCAAAAATAGAGGATCTAAATATAGCAACATGTCCAGCATCTCTGGGTGCACACAGAGGAGACTGGACTGAAGGACTTACTCCACGCTGCTGATCTTGTTCCCTGTGTGAAAGTGTCTGACGTGGAGGAAGTCCAGCAGCACCTGCGGCACATCCTCATTCTGGTAGATGATGTCCTGGGCCACAGAGAATGAGACAAGACATTTCAAGTATGAAAGTCAAGGCTTTTGAGCTCCTTGTGAAATCTCTGGTTCAGTCCTGCTGCTGTTTACAACAAAGGAAAACTGGGCAACACTTTATTTTACAGGCCGTGGATTTTCCAGCTAATTTCCTGGAAACTTTCCTCATAAATGGAGAAAGTGTTAGGTGCTACAGCTATTAAAGACCTGCTCATTATATTGGAGTTTTTAAGAAAATGTGCCACTGTTACTTCATTTTTCAGGTCAGTCTGTGGAAATGAGGTAGAAATATATTTCTAAATATAACTGCTGAGTCTGTTTTATAGTCTGAACGGAGTTTTATTTGTTGATCATCAGTTCAAAATATTAAACTAAGGAATTTCCAATGCAGCTGAAAACTACAGGTCAGAATGCAACTCAACCAGTATGCAGCATAAATGTTAATTAAATGAACATTTACTAATTACCAAGCAGATCTAAAATGTGTGGCAGTTCAAAGTCATGAAGAAGAGAGATTAATCATCTTAATTAGTCTTTCTAGGAAAAACTGATGAATAGTTGACATGAGTTTATGAACTATTTTAAACTTATCTTCAACATCATATCCTAATTTTTGACATTGACACTTTTCTTCATTTCCTGTATAATTTGTACCAAACTGTAAAATAGGCTTTTCTTTGAAATATCCTGGTAAACAGTTTTAATTTAAATACCAGCGATTTATTAGGAAATTATGTGTCAAGTTTCCAGGAAATTAGCTGGAAAATATGGGACCAATAAAATAAAGTGTAACTGAACATTGGCAAGAACTGTCTTAACAGATCATCAGCTGCTGCAGAACTCTGCAAACAGCTCACACGTTACAGCAGTTGTAGTTTCTCTCCACTGTCTCTCTGTCACTTAGAGGACTGATATTACTATGTGATTTTTGACATACAAGGCATCAAATGGTCAGATGCCTCTGTATTTAAATGAGCTGTTGTACCCTCTGACTAAAGTGCAGCAACCTGACGACTCCAGACAACACGTTGTGTGTGTCAGTAATGGACGACACACAGCCAAAACCGGGAGCTTCTTAAGTTCTCCAGTGATTCGGGGAAGGATAATGCATAGTGGAGAGATTCTGACCTTGTTGAGAGAAAAGATAAAAAACCTCCAACCTTTCTCCACAACCCCAACCAGAGCAGCAGGATCGAGTCTGTACAGAGTTAAAACCGACTGGACTGTTGTCAAGCTCAACTGGTTCTGATGCAATTAAAACCAATTTATCTTCTTTTACTTGTTCTTGAATGTATAACTTACTTTGTGGATATTAACTCGTTTCTCCTTGTTTCATGTATGATCACTTCTATCCTCTTTTACTTTTCTTATTCCTGTAAATCAATTTTTAATATCTGTTGTAAAAAGCACTATATAGATAAAGTTGCCTGCTCACTTACTCGCTCAATTAATCATTCATGTTCACAATATCACCCTGTGGAAACTGAATGTAATAAGAAAATACAGCACATTCCTCGTTCCATCTTTGAGGGTCATAAAACTCTATTTAAATCACGGTCACACAGCTTGAGGTGCCTACACTGCTGGTTTGTGCATTCTCATTCTCCCGTTCATGTCCACTTTTACTTTGGCTTAGTGCCATACAAGGCGGGCATGTCACAAGTAGTGACGTATGTACTACAGGCGTTCCAGCAATTATACTGTGTATGAGTGTATAAAAGCAGACTGCAGTGAACATGCAGTGCGCTCTTGGTCAGGAACACTCTCTGTTGTTGGCTAAGGCGTCCACTTGCAAGTGTCAGAATAAACTAAAAGGATTACTGTCTTGTTGTCAGTCCTCTGTTTCCTGAGGGGCAGAGGCTCCTTGTGTCTGACATAGACCCCCCCCCCCCCCCCCCGATTGGACGAACACCTGGATGCTTTACCTGGATGTAATCTTCCAGCTCCTGCCTCCTCTGCTCCAGAGGTTTGGTCCTCAGGTGGGGGTTCCTTTTGCTCGGGAAGTCGGGCGTCTGAATGATCTTCCTGAGCTGCAGGAACGTAATGAACAAACCACAACCAAACACAACACGTGAGGTGGATGAAGTTACAGTTTGCAAATGAGCCGGATCAAAATTAAGAGAGACAGTTACATTACTTTTTCATCTTGTTTATTTTTTCTCCATATTGTGACACACACCTGAAATTTTTCTGAACTCTCCTCGTCTTGTTTTCAAACCCCAAAAACATATATTTTTACAAACACAGAAGACCGTCAAAATAAAGCTTCCTTGTGATTTTAAATCCATGCAAACTATCCTCTTATGTTACATAGACCTTATACATCTAACAGCAGACATGCAGTGCCACATACATTACATTACATACAATCCATGTACTTACTTTTCTGTGCAGAGTCTGGAACTCGCTGTTTCTCCTGAGCACATAATGTTTCCTCCCATTAAACAAGACTTCAACTCTGAAGCGCTGCCGACAGGAGACAGAGGGAGACAGGATTTATCCACAGCCTGTCATTTACTCAAGATAAGGTTTGTCAGGTTGAGTCTAATGTTTCACAGCAGTGATGAAAATAAACCCAGTATATCTTTGCTTTACTGGCAGGCTCATTCTTTTTAAACAGACATATTTCTCTACTGTGGTCTAATCTTATCTAAAGTACAATTAACAAAGAGGAAGTATGGGTTAAATAGATTAACACAAATTAAAATAGTTTCCTGTCCAAAAACCTTTAACATCTACCATATTTAAAATAATGACATTTGCCAACAATGAGATAAACCAGGTTAAGCTGATTAAACTAACAACTTTAACACCACATGAAAAAGTTTGTCATCATTCTGTGGAGTCATTTATTTTAACTGTTGCTCCTCAGTTTCCAATGAAATAAAGATTTAAATGAAAGATTTAAGAGTAAGGATTTAACTGGAAGCAAAAAAAACAAAAAAAAAAACCCAAAACATTTCTTGGAGTTTTGGTATCCATTATAAACTGTAACATTATTCCTGCATCAGCGTACAACAACATGATTTCTCCAGCAGGAGGAGGTACAGAGCTTCACATTTAATCCTCAAGACATTAGAGTGGACACATGAGCTTCATACAGCTGTACGCAGAAATGACTGAATCAGTTCCTCAACACTGTGACGTGATGTGACACCACTGAAACTCTAGCACATCTCAATACACTGTATGTATGCTAACTACTGTTCATTATGTCAGTGGGTTGAGTTAAGTTAGTGAACTGGATTTTCACACTCAAAGCACTGTAATGGTTAAAATGATATGAGTAAATACGGGAACACAGGAGACCCTCACTTCTGCATCTGCAAACATTAAATAGACATTTATACTGAACAGGAAACAACGTGCAACTTGAAAACTAAATGATATGAATCTGTACACAGACTGACATATGTCAACAATTCATTAAAGCAGACACTTAAGAGGAATGTAGTTTAGCTTGTGCAGAATGATGGCATTTATCTCATCTTCCCCTCTGCTCGACACAGACGTCACTGCCTCATCAAAACTCCCATCACATATATTTCATGCTGTCCTCTCAGGGCAAAAACATCATGTTTTCAGTCCTGCAGGGTATTTTGGGCTGTTTTTAATTAGAAATCAGAAATCTAAACAAACAAATGCAGCGTGAATGAGTCAGACCTCCCTCAACATAAAAGCAGCTCCTTCAGGTTGGAAACACTGATTATAACTAATTACATAATTACTCATATACTGTACGGTGCTCGTACTTTACATGGTTACTTATTATTTATTTAGGGAAATGCTTCACTACATTTTCTCACAGAATGAGTAACTTGTTACTTTTCATTAATTATTAAAAATTTTAGATTAAGATTATTAAGATTAAGGTGATCAACATTAAGATTTTACATACATTGATCAGTTTATAAAAAAACGCTGCATTGTTACAAATTAAACCACCCAACATGAGATTTTCTTTTGACCCTTTAGGTACATTTTGCTGATAATACTTCTTTCAGTTGCGTAAGACTTTGAATGCAGGACTTTTACTTGTAACTGAGTACTTTTAAACTGCAGTATTATCACTATTACTTCAGTAAAAGAATACTTCTTCCACCATAAGGTTGAGACTTGGAACTCTTGGTTTGCTCGTCCTGTTGAAAGGCATGTGTGGAGTTGTGTGAGCGTAACTGAGGTCATGGATGTAAAGAGCAAACATATAAGACTAAGTATATATGACTTTACAGTGTAAAAGTATTTGTGCTCCTTTATATTTAATTGACAGCAAAAGATGGTATTTTTTGCTGAAGGTTTTACACACAAAACAATGATAACTTTATAAAGGTGAAAGTGGTTGGCAGCGTTTGTGGATGTCAGTGGTGTGTTGATCAAAGCTCAGTTTATTGTCCAGGGTGAGTCCCAGCTTTTTGAGCCCTATAGCTTTAAAGCACTGCTTACATGTTAATAACGATAATTTTCATCATCATTTATTCAATCATTTTTTAAAATGACAGTAACCTGTGAAAAATGCCACTTCAGATGTTTTGTTGTGTCTCACCCCAAAATATTCATCTTATTATATGACAAAGAAAATCATCAAATCCTCACATCTGAGCAGCTGGAAACAGAAAAAGTTTGACTTTTCTGTTTAAAAAATTGACTGAAAAGATTATTCAATTATCAAAAGAGTTGATGATTCATTTTCTGTCAATTAGTTAATTATTAATAGACTAATCCCACAGCTCTAGGTTATAAAGTACACCAATAAAAAATGATCCAGTCACATAATATTATAACAGTCAGTTGTACTTCTGCATAATGAGTACTTTTACTTTGGACACTAGTAGCCAACACTTTGCTTCTGTGCTTTTCCATAAGTAGATTTCTGACTGCAGGACTTTTAGCGGTTAAACTGTAGCATTTCGATAGTATTTATTGCTAGTTTTACACAGTAAATCATCTGAATACTTGCTGTACCACTGTTACTTTTGTAACAGTCAGTAAAATTCAAATCTTCATATTGATCATTTTAAAAGATTAGAGCATTTCCTCAGAGTCAGTCTGAGATGAGTTCACTTTCACTCTTCCTGCAGGTAACCTGGCTCACCTGACGCCACGTACGGCTTCCCTTCACCACCACACTACAAAGTGTCAGGAATATAGCTAGAAATAACATACGAGTCTGAATACATAATAAGTTGAAGTGTTTCTACTCGGTCCATAAAAGTTTAAAATGTGACCTGTGGAGATTCAACCGCGTCCTCACCTTTTTGGACTTTCCCGACTCATCCACTTCCCGCTCCATCGATGGTATCGACACTTCAATCATCGGGAAATCTTCCTCCCACACCATCGGACTGTATCAGCTGTCTGTGACCGACTTTCCACAGCTCATCAGAAACACAAAGGTAACTTTCAACCGCGGGTTTCTCCTCGTCTGGAAGCTGCAGAAGAAGAAGAAAAAAAAGCGCCTCTGTTGTCGCTCTCGGTCGGTTTCCTCCTCAGCTCCACCTACACAGTAATTGGACAAACCCGACAGCATAAAGAAACATTAAAGGAGCAGTCCAACGTTTAGGAAGAAACCCACTCTGAGGCTGCTGCGGTTGGAAATATAAAAACAGAGTTTAGTGCACGTGAAGAGACACAACAACACAGAGCTGGAGTCTGTTGTCTGGAGCTGTGAAATGTGACGATTAGTGGGCGGAGTGCATGTTGGTGAACAGAGCTGACAACATGGAGGTTTAGTTTTTTTTTTTTTTTTAATTCTGGTGGAACAATGATTTTAAACCTTTACCCATTCACATGGCTATAACCAGGATTTTACAAATACTGCGCCCAAACAAAACCACCTCACCCCCTGAAAATTATTAAAATAACTGGGATTTATATCCTTATTTTAAAACAGTTAAATCATATTTTCTATACATGTTAGGCTATTTCCCAACACGAGGGTCTCCTGTTAGCTCTGTTTTGGTCTCCACTGGCTTCTGTAGAAACCAAAACAGTGAGCTGAAAGATGCTAAAACGCTCTGAAATAAACACTAAGGGCGACTGTGAACTGAGTAATGGGTGAGAAGTGTAATAATTTGCCATTATGAACTACTCTTTCCTGATTACACAGAGTCATTTGATGCATCGTTCATATAAAAAATATTGATTATAGCAGCTTTAAGTCCACTTGGTTTGAGAGGTGTTGAATCAACTTTATGATCGTTTTCGAGGCTGCAGTTTGTGGTGCTGTTGAACTGTATTGTGTTGGATTACAGTTCAGTCAGTGTCAGACAGTCAGGGAGCATTATAGCCTTCATGATGGTAGGATTTATCACAGGACTGTTGTATTAAACTGCAACTTCTTAAATTAGTAGTAAAATATGTACCAAAGTATTGTATAATGTTGTAGGTGAACCAACTACTGCGTACCTCATGTTTTCCATGTAAAATCTGAATATGCAAAATAACCTGTACAGCTGTCAATGTCAAGCTCTCAATATGTGGAAAATAAAGGACCTTCTAAACAGAACTTGTATAAATGTACTTAGTTGGTATCTTCAGTTTTATAAATGGAACATGATTTATTTTTCTTCATTCTGCCTCTGCTGCATAAAAGTTATGCTTTGTTTTTAAAATAAAACACGAGCCAGAGTGAAAAACTGTACTTTGAACCTGTGGTCACGGCCACAGCAACACTGTCACATGTGACTTTCAAATCCAGGTTCACTTCCCACTCTGCCTGAAACATAAAGTAAAACAAAAGTGGTTCACTGGATGTAAAAACGGATGTAAAGCCAGACCATGTAACTCAGAACTGTACTCACATCCTCTCAGAGCCACAGCTCAGAACTGAACCCAGACTGTGTTTGGTAAGGGAAAAGCAAAAGAAGAAGCTGTCATGTTGCACTGTTTAATTTCAGAGTCCATCACTGATGAGCAATTCTCAGCTATGTTTCCTCTTTCACTGTTTAAATCCTACATACGGATCATTTTCCATGTGTTGATCTCTTGCCAAAGTCACAAGCTCTGTCTGCAACGTGTCGTCATGGGATTTGTATCTTCCCGTGCCCTGTTTGTTGCTCACTGTTTTAATTTGAGCTGACAGAAGAGCTTACTTAAGCAACTCTGTGAGGATATGTGACCTTCAAGAGTCACAGATCACAGCGGGGTAATAATATCATTTGCTCGTGTTCTTGTTGTGTCATCACTGTTTTACTACGGCCTCATGTGAGTCGTGACACTGTCAGCAGAAACAGGCCACACACATTAACAAGGAGGAGGTTAGATTTGGTTTTGTGGCTGTAACATGTGTCTTCACTTTTGGGAAAAACAACTCATTTGTTTCCTTTGCTGAGAGTTAGATGTCGTCACTTTCATTTCTGTGCTTAACGTCCTGTTTTCTGTTTACTAGTCATGAACTCTCCCGCCTGCCTCTCCCCTCCCGTCACCTGACCTCCACCTGCTCAACTGCTCCCAATTCCCTGAGGTCCCCAGAATATATACAGGCCTCTTTTCCTGTGCTGTCATTGTCTGTTATGCTCTCCCCTCTTATCTGTGGTTTCCTGCCTTTTTCAACCTTTTCTCTCCTGCCTTGCCCTTTTGATTTGTTTATCTGTTTGGATTTTTCTCCTGATGAAAACTGTGTTGAATTCTGGACACAGTGAACCTTATTTTAATTCAGCTTGCTCAACTCTTTAAGTTGTGCGTCTGCAAAAGTGAGCATTTGTAACTGTGTGTCAGTTGTCTTATTAAAATACTTGAGAGGTGGTGGGTTTGGATTTAGATAAACTTACATTTTTTAAGTCACCATATGGGGCGCCATGTGGTGCAGTGGTTAGCACTGTTGCCCCACAGCAAGGGTTTGGGTCCTTCCTGTGTGGAGTTTATATGTTCTCCTCATGCCTGTGTGGGTTTCCTCCCACAATCCAAAGACATGCCCGTTAGGTTAACTGGCGACTCTAAATTGCCCGTAGGTGTGAATGGTTGTTTGTCTCTATATGTCAGCCATGTGATAGACTGGCTCCAGCCCCCTGCGACCATAAAAAAGGATAAGCAGTATGGCTAATGAATAAATGAATGAAGTCACCATGCGATGATAAAATGTTGTCCAGCAGAGGATCTGATCTGTACGGCAACATGACCATTTCAACCAAAAAGTGTTTTTTTTCTCATTTAATCTAAATGTTTTCTAAGAGTAGTGAAGAGATGAACTACAGTGACTGACAAGAAAAGCAGAAGCAAACATTTCCCAGTTTGGGAACAATTTTAAGGTTCTTATTCCTCACATTCAGAATAATGTGGAGATCACACACTCAGATGATGTTGAATGTTATTTCAGTCATTTCAGAACATGTCAGTACTAAGAGTTGGATTAACATGAACATGTTACTATCAATCCTTAAAGTCACACTACAGTAATGAGTGAATGACTTTAAACATATTTTTTTACTTTTAACAAGCTTTGGCTGATGGAGACATGAACTGAAAGTGTCATGTAGTCATCACAGAGCATTTGCAGCATTTGGTGTAAAAATCATATAATTTGAAAAGTAAATTTAGGGAAGTTGTTGATTCACTATTACGCGTGTGTGCTGGTTCCTTATCTCCTTCCGAAATTCTTGTCAGTGGAATGTGAAGGCAAGTCTCCACAACTTCACATATTGGAGTTTATAGACATGCCAGCCGGTCTGGGGAGCGTGATGCAATTTGTTGGAGCCAGTGTGTGAATGAAAGAAAGCACTGTCATCCAGAATAACCGTGTTAGCTGACGCATTCTTGAGTTCTGCACACAGTTCGACTGAGTTGTTTACTGCTACAAACTGAAAGCTATCTGATGAATCTCAAGCTGATGCTGAATTCAGTCGTTCCTCCGCGTACACAACTCGTCATCTAGAGCTACAAAATAACCAACAAAACAAAACTACCATATCATATGAAATGGAAACTGTCCAAAAAAACAACTATGGAATAAAATCAATGCTTAACATTATCTTTTTTTTTTTTTTTTTTTACAGATTTATATAACCTAAATCAGAGTTTTCATTGTTTCACGACATATTTTATTGCTCTACCGGGTTTTCATGTAGCTGGTGGCATTAGCTGAAACGATATCTGAAGCTAGATGATATTCCACGATGCCTTGTTTCATGTGTGCATCACGCTGCATGGACTTCACCTCTGGATTGGTCTATCAGAAAGACAGCATTTCTGGATATCTTTTTTATTACCTGTGAAAACTCATAGCAAAATAAATTTGCCAGATTATGGGGAAAACAGCCGTAGCAGTATCTTCAAATGGAAAAGTATATGATGCAAACACTCTCACTGATGAAGCATGAAGCAAGGCTTTTCAGCGTATAGCTCCATGGTGTGACTTTTTGCCAGTAGGTGTCTCCCCAGGACTTGAAAATAAAACCCGTCAGTACAGACAAAAGTTCTTGCATCTTTTTGTAAGACTGTTTATTTTTTATACAGATAAGGTTTCAATTTGAACAGCTTGACCTGAAATTTTTTTAGACTTCTGGGTGACAGGTTCACTCATCAAGGACTTAAATGTACTTATTTATTAGGTTAGTTAAATCTTTGAAGAATCTTAATTTGTGGAGCTCACTTGACTGAGATGAATTGTGCTGAATGTACTGTCCAATTCACATGCAGTAATAGAGTCTCTTATTACATATTTATTATCTTTAACCCTTTGAATTTGTTTATATGATTTATCCCTTCTGTTTTTAAAGACACACTACATTGAACAGATCACAATAACATATTTATTCCATGTTTCTAAATTTTTCTTCAATTTCAAAGAACTGTCAAGGTGAATTAACCTCAGATATTTAATCATAATAACAAAAACCTACAGTGTGTCTCACACAACAGGTCGGCCTTGGCAGTATGACCAGTTTACAAGTATGTTGTTTGATATTTTTAAAAGAGCAAATGGATTTGAACTTTGACATTACACTTTTTGATCTCTGGAGACTGCAGAGTGGATGATGTCATCCAGACTGTCCACCTATAAGAAAGAGCAAGAGAGACAGTTGGACCTTTGTACAGTACTAAATATTGTGGTTTGTTTTGCTGTATTCCTCTTCTCAGTCATGAGTCATAAGTTATAAAAGAAATGTAGAAAATGTTTTAAATGTCAAATCTTTGCTTCTTTGGAACCCTGTACCAAAGCTGATCAATCCCCTTTTACTTTTGCCTCTCTATAGTCTGCAAAGCCACCTAAAAATTAAATTACTTAAACTCCCTGTAACTTAAAAATCATTCTGTCATGACCCGTCAAGTGACTTGAGTTCATGGTTCCTTGTCTTTAATGTTTCCCTGTGTTTCCTGTTTTATTTTGGTAACCATTGTCTTGTCTCGTTTCAGATCCCACATCCTGTCAAGTTTCCCTCCTGTGTGATTACCTGCCCCGCCCTTTGTATTTGAAAAGTTTTGCAATAAGCCACATGTAGAATATCACATAGGCCACCTTGGTTTTACCTGCTTGCCGTGTCCCATACTGAGGTTCTTGGGCTTGTAGACAGTCACTTGTCCGTCACTGTCTCCTACTAAGATGCAGTCTGACCCTGTGGCAAACAGCAGGGCCGTCATCTTCACACCGGGTGCAGCATGTTGCACGATGGCTGGGTTCAGGCTAAAGAGAGAGGTTCGTATTTAGTGGACACAGGATTATTTCTCACTCATGTTTCAAACCACAGCAAACCAGAAAAGGACAGTAAATGACACAAAAGCTTGAAACAGACACATTCTCTGTCAGACCGACTCACATGCATATATTCAGGTCCCAGATCTCCATCTGCCGTCCATTAATGGCTGCAAACACTGTGGAGTGGTTTGGGGACCAACTGGCGGAGTACACGGCCTTCTGGGTTGATGTGAAGCTCAGCACTGGGGTACGTTGGCTCTGCCTCCACAGCTGGATGGTCCAGTCAGAGGAACAGCTCAGGAACGCATCAGGACTGAATGGAGACCATTCAACGTGGTTCACCTGGCTCTGAGCGCAACATGTGATATGGAGTGAAAATATAGTACCAACTGACCTCTACATTTGTTTTTTGTTTTTTGTTTTTTTACAAATATTCCAATTACAGTAATAAATCAAATGGTAGTAAAAGAGTAACAGTGTAACTGAAGTCAACACTATTGCTGAATGTTATTCAGCACACCTTTGTGTGAATGCAGTATTTCTGCTAATAGAAACATATAGAAATCATGAATGTGAATCATGAATTTTCCTCACACATAGTTTGGTGAGGAAGGTGATTCTTGTATTTGTCATGATTTGTAAGCTGGAACATCTCAAGCTACTGTTTACAGGTTTGGTCTGCACGTTGATTTGAAGTCAAAGTCGTTTCCATGACACTGAAAAGCCTGTTAAGTTTGCTGGTTAGCTTCCTATCCCACTGGAAAAACAGGCCCCTAGTCTCTTGTGTTATCTACGTAATGACAAAAACGAACCTCATCACAGGACGAGATGGAATATGCAGCCATTTACCATGTGTATTATCCACAAAGACTTACAAAATGTTTTTGGTAAGTATCCAGAGAATGCTGACTGTTGGAGAAGGAGCACTTGTGGATGAGGCCATCCCGTGTGCCAGTCAGATAGATACTGTAATCCTGCAGGATCAGGGCACGTAGTCAAAACAGGAGAAACACACAACCAGAGAAACAACCTCAGATTGTCCTGATGAATACTGACCGCCTGGATAAAGGACCAGTTTAACAACCATGTGAAACATTTCTTTTCCCCACAGAAATAAGATTCTTAGCCTGCAGACTTGACTCAGTTAAAACCAGCCTAGGATCTATTCAATTTCTGTGACCAACTTACTGTTGGATGGAAGTCAATGCAAAGGGTCGGCATCATCATTGCCAGAACACCGGCTGCCTTTTTCTTTCTTTTTTTTTTCTGAGCCTTCGGCTTAATATTCTCAGTCCTCTTCAGCTCCATCAGGTCTAAGAACACATGTTTTTAGAAAAGATACAGATATTATGATTATGATTAGTGTGTTTGCGCACTACTATACAAGATAAATTACATGAGACATTTTCACAGCAAATGTTGTCTATATTAATAAAAACATAGTGGTATTTTGTCTTGCCAACTGTCTTTAAAGTTCCAAAATGGTAAAAATTATTAACCAGCATTATTTTTAAAGGTTATAATAAAGAGTCAGGTTTAGTGATAGAACTGATGCTGAACTTTGTTTGTTTGCCGCCTTTTAAACTCAAAGCTCATCTGAGCACTGGTAAATGATCTAAAAGAAAATTCTAAATGATAATGTGAGTGAAATCTTTTCATAACACTTCTGAATCTTCTACGTTAACTCTTGAAGAGCTTTTATGTCCACATGGATAAAATTGTAATTACACTGTTGACACCATTGTTTATTGCAGACTACAGTACCTATACAGTCAAGATGATTGGCGGAGAGGAGCCACTTCTTAATCCTGCCATCTGCCGACACAGAGACGAGGGCTTCCACCCTCTCCTCCCCCGATAATCTCATCTCTTGTCTGGTCCACTTGACCTGCCACACTGGATGCAGGTGCTTTATGGAACACTCACTACAAAGCAAAACTATTAGAAAAGCTAATGGAAAAGGGGTTTGGCAATAGCTAGATTTTATCCTATTGGATACTGGGATGTGCATGTCTTTTTAAAAAATATAATTTTCTATTTTCAACCACCATCCACACACACCCATACACACACTTCTCACCTGCTGCTGGCGAGACATGTCCTTTTGTCTCGACACTGGATGTTGTAGAGTGCTACAGTACCATCAAGCATCCCCACAGCCAGCTGGCTGGGGTTGTTGGCTGAGAAATCCACGCATGTAACACAACTATGACAGTAGAAGACGCATTCTGGCCACTGCACAGGGGACACAATTAGAATTGCTGTCACTTCCAAAAGATTAACTTGGTGAATTGACTACATTTATATAGCTCTTTTGTCCAAAGCACTTTTAAGTTTTGCTTTCATTCACCAACACACACATACACAAATGGCAATGTATTATCATAAAAGATGCTGGCCTGATCATCATCATCAGGAACAATTTGGAGTTCAGTGTCTTGCCCAAAAAAACTTCCATACAGGCATTTCAAAAAATGCCTATTGCTACTTAACATTGTTTATACTAGTGAGCTGAGATAGGGCAGTGGAAGAAGATGACTGAAAGGAAATAAAGAGCAAAAATGTATAAATATACCACTGGGTTTTTGAGGGACCAGCAGCAGATCAGTCCTTCTTTCTCGTTCATGAGGTCACCATATCCCACTGCCAGGAGGTTCTAACAGAGCGTCCAGAGCACAATGAAGAGTGATTTAAACTTTTTAAACAAAGACTAGTAATATGAGAACCATGAAAAATAAATAATTGTCTGCTGTAATTCCAAAAGTATAGTGTAAAAGTATAAAATGCAAACTGCGGGTATATTAACATAATTAAAATTTGTATTAAATGTTGCTTATGAAGAGTGAAGGGTGTTACATAGGAATCCCATTTCAGTTTCCACAATAAATAAAAAAACAGCACAAAATGACAATGGTGCTGGTGTGCAGGATTTGTTCTGCTCTCAGAAAAACAGCAGCAGGTCTGAGTGTTTTGGTCTTTGGTCTTGGGCCTGTGTTACCGGGTCCTTTTTGTTCCAGCACATGCTGGTAATGTTGCATCCTCTGGTGACCTCGCAAGTGAAAGCCCAGAGACATTCAAGGGCTGGAGTTAGACTGCTCGTCTCACCCTCCTCACTCTGTTCCTTAGTCCCAGGCTTCACCGTGCTGTCAGGGTCTTACAGAATCAACATTATTACACCATATACAATATTTTTTCAGATACACATACATTTAAAAGCTGGCCAAATTTGTAATTGTAGTAGAAGGAAAAAGAACAAAGGTCTGAATTTGAAATTTGAATGTGCAAAGTAAGAAAGCAGTAATAATCTTGAATTTACCTTCTAGTACGGGCAGCTGTCTATAAGCAGCCAGTTTGGGTTGAAAGATGTTTGCCATGATAGTCCTCATCATGAGTAATAAACTGTGCTGGAATGACTCAGACTCCATGATCCACTGTGGGTCAGGCCCAACATTTAGACTGTTCTCATAGTTTTCCATTTCTAACAGTGAGCTGATGGTACTGCCTGAGGAAATGAAATATGAGAAAATTATACATGCCTGGTATTCAAAAATAGGTTTAATAAAAATGTTAAATCTGTAACAATGTATATAGGATATAATAGGAAGATATAGTAAATAACCTCTCCAGTCCATTAACAGAGTCAGTGTTCTCTCAGGTGCTGGTACCTGTGCAGATTGTGCTGTTGCTCTTTTCTTGTCTCTTATCTTGAATTTTGCTGGTGTTCAAAGTACTCTCTGAATATTTCTCCTCCTCACTTTCAGTGGTTTCATTTTGTCTACAGAAAGAGTCATAGATGTCCCAGACAGTAGCAGTTGATCCTGTGGACATGAAAGAATCTCAAGTAACTGTCAAAAATCAAAGCTTGAAGACTAATAACTCTGCACCAAGTATTGTTTCTATCTAGGTACTGTAGCAAAACCTTGATGGATTGTGATGCAGTAGTCTGAGGTTGGAAAGCCAACTAAATCAAGGTAACAAATCCAAACTGATAATCTCTGATAATCAAAACTAAGATAAAACGATAACTTGACCTGCCCGCTATTCCTATTGATGAATTTTCACAATTTAACATAAATAAACACAGTATACAAAGAGAAAAATTAAGCCTAACCCTCTTCCACCATGGCAATCTTGTCACACTGGATCTGTTTGTCCTTGGGTGCTCCATTGAATGTCTGCATTGATCGCACTACATACTTATCATTGCCCATTCTGTTCTTGCAGAGCTCAGCATAGTGAATGTTTCCTTTTCTGTAAGAAAAAAGAGCTTGTTCAAACCAAAAGAAGAGTACCACACGTCACTGGCTAACATGTCTGCACAGAACACAAACTGACATACATCTTTACACATACTGTAGAGTGTGGCAGGCAGTTCCCAACTTAAAGATATAAAATACCACTTCCTATACCTGTAATGCCTTCCAGATATTGTGTGATATTAAACTACTACTACTAAAAATCAGTAAACAGAGCCATTTACTCACTTAATTGCTTCTGCATCATCAGCATCCTCTGAGATAACAGTGTTGGGTTTGTCCAGCAGTGAAATGGTGTCTGTCTCAGAGAAACATATGTCTACTACCTCATCCAACTTCACTTCTGTGATGTGTTGTCTCACATTGTCTCTTTTCCTTGGCAACACTGGCAGAGAACAAAAGTAAAAATACCACAAAAGATCTGCCACAAAAATGTAATTTTATCATTATAAAATGCTGTAGATGCCACATGAGGCATATAACAAATAAGAAAACAAATAGTAACCGTATGGAGTTGGCTGGTTTATTGGCATTTCCAGTGAAGGAAGATTATCCTCAGTGTCCTTAGTCAGTAGATCTTTGTTGGACAGGCTGGATGGTTGGCTGCAACACATGAATGAGCTGCAAAACAATGTCATTACTTAGTCAGTGGTGGGAGATGCTTAGATATATTTTATCTAACAAGCTACACAAAAAACAACTGTAACATACAGTAATCATATGTAATAAAGAAAATTTTGCAAAACATAACCTTATATGTATTTCTATAACTACAATTCATACTTATATGGTTTTATTTCTCCCACCATTGTCACCATATACACAAGTAGACTAGTAGTGGTATATAATAGTGGCAAAGTAAAATGTTGCTTTACTGCTTTACTGCCACAACAAATGACTTGCACACCCTCCTCTCATCCAGTCTCAAATCAGCTCTGGACCTGCTGTTTGATCATCTAGTCAGCCAGTGTATACTGTATGAATGTTACTGCCTGGTACCTGGAAGAGCGCACACTGAAACTTGAAGTGGATTGTAAATGGTCTGATCCTGAGCTGGAAAAGATTTCATCCAGAAAGAATCTGCCTGGTTTGGGCTGTGTTTCTCCTGGCTCTGCCTGATACAGAGGCAGAGGAGTAACGTCAGTGCCATCTTCATTAAACACCTGCAAAGACGGCGTCACAACCAGAATTGGTTAAATATTCATTTTATGCCTGGACAGAAATACAGGAATTCATTTTCAATAAAACTTTGAAAGACAAAACTAACTAACTAACTAACTAGCTAACTAGCTAACTAGCTAACTAACTAAAACTAAAATTAAAACTAACTAAAACTATATAAATGTGAATGTAACATAAATTCTTTGAGTTTCATACTCTTAATGGGTAAATTTCACATACACAGAAAAAGCCTTCTGGCTTTTTGATAGAATTTAACTCATACTGAGCTTTCTGCATTCATGTTTTTCTGAATGCAAGTTCTGCATTCCAAATTTTGGTTGAATGAGAGGACAAATATCATCAGCAAAATGTACTCATGTATGAAAAGTATAAGTACTTGTTCATTTCCTCTGATAAGTCAGTTATAATTAGAATAGAGGTATAATGCAGCATAAAATATAAATACTCAAATACCAGCACCTCAGCATTGTACTGTAGTACAGCAAATATAATTAGTTATTTTCCACCACTGTTGTTGTTGTTGTTGTTTGTTTATTTCATAAAAACTTTAATAACACATACAACAATGCACTGGATCAAAGATGGCTGCAGAGGAATGTTTCTATGTTTGGTACCACCTCTACCTACACTATTATTACTACGAATATATTTAGTCTGCTCAGATTACGTAGATACCTGGACTGCTCTTCTGGGAGTCTGGTGACCTCCTCCCCGACCGTTACGTTTGCCATTGTTGCTGTCACCGGCCAAGATGGAGGTTTTCCGGATTTGAGAAACTCCAAAGCTCCATTTCTGTCTTAGACTGACTCCATGAATTCCCGATCCTGAATTATTACTTGCTCGAAGACATCTAGGAGAAAGCAACAGTTTCTTAGGTAAGCTAGCTAACTTTCTGTTTCACCTGAGCTAAAAAATTATGTTGCTGTGTGTTGATAAAATTATTTGCTGTGAAACTGTGAACTTACGAGTTAGGTGCCACACTAGTTTTCTTCATTTTCTCCGCATGGAGGACAATTTCTGTGTTCTCTGTGTCCTTCTAAAACTGCATCTCTGTCTTTTTAAAGCTAACTGAGTATATTTCTTAAACAGGGGAGCATCTTCTAACGGCTCAAAATACCGTTGCTCCAAGTAGCCATGGCAACATGATGACCCATTGCGCCCTGTCAGTTACTCATCATACATCTTAACTTCATACAGGTCGGTTTACTTTCTGTTTTACAACAAAGTTTCTGTAGATTTGACATTTGCTTTGGGCTCTTTTAGTTCAGGTCTCTCCTAGCCAGTATTGTGAGACGTACTGAGACCCTTTACTTTAGTAAAAGTGCCAATATATCAACGTAAAAGGAAAAATCCTACATTTAAAATCCCTCTTAAGTACAACTTATCATTAGGAAACTTCACTTAAAGTTCCCCTCCACTCAAAAATGTGTTTTGGTAATTGTTACTTTTCTTTGATGTTTGACCTTCACTGTGTAGGATTAAATATACAGACCCCTTATCTTTTTGGACATTTTAATGTATTGTACATTTAATTTTACTGTTATTTTCACCCACCAACCTACTCTCAATCCATTATCACAGAGAGAAACATGTCTTTATAAATGTTTGCGAATTTATTAAAAATCAAAAACTGAAATTTCTCATTTACAAAAGTCTTCAGTTACTGTGTCTCTTAAGAGTTGGGCCCATCAAAGGGTCACCAGAAAAATTTGATGGGTCATGAAACGATAAATGCGGTAAAAAAAATATGAAAAAACTAATTTCTGCCATATAACTCTTGTATTTTTGGAACTTTTCTCTAATCTTTGATTTTTTTGTGAAATTTTGATTAGTTTACCTCAACCAATTATTTAAATGAAACAATCTAAGCAGTTTAAAAGGTAAAACGTGTCTTTGATGCACTGCTGTGAAAAGTCCATAATACATATAAAATGCAGGTGCACAATCTGAAATCTGTGCACATTTCAGCCCTCTTCTCTGAACACATCAAGAACATTATTTCTGTCACAGTTTTTAAGGTGTTTGTGATACTCTGAGCACAAAACAAAGGTGGAAAGCCTGGCCCTCTAAGTTTAGTGTGTTACTGTATTTCAACTTATTAAGACATCAGACATCAGATAGACATCACATGTTTCCAGCATGTGCAAGCCCAGTCTGGTGCCATGTAGAATCAGCATAATAAAACATCAGAAACTTAAGGTGCAATCCAAATGTATATACAAAAATGTAGCACCAGTATTAAAACAGAGAATAATGTTAAATAATAACGCAGTAAGGTTTGTAAACACAAATAGTAAAACTTATCAAACCTCTACAGCAAACTGATCTGAATTCAAAAGTTGCAATAGATGTTTGAGAAACATTTCATGTCAAAGGAATCTTAAAACGGTATATTGTAAAACAGACTACTTGATGTTAGTGTTGCAAATCTCCTTTCAGCATAATAAATGCTGCAAACGACTTTTAGTAGCCACAAACTATTTTTGTCCATGTTTTTGCAGGAGTGGACTAACCCATGTGCACCTTTCATAGGGGTGGGAGGAATTAATGTTGTTTAAGATACAAGAAATGGTCTGTCAAACATTTACTCAAACTAAATATGCTAATAACATTACATTTCCAAATTGGAGATAAAAACAAGCTTTTAATTTTAGCCATTTTGAGGGTCCTCTCCACCTTGGGGCCATGGGTAATTAGCAACACTATTCCCCTCACCACTACACCCCTAGCTACCTGTAATGTGTCATAGAGGGTCTGTATAGTTCATGGCTGCAGCTGATAGAATATTATTGCATGTAGTCTGTTGCTCCACTAGGTGGCAGTAATTGAATTAGATGTTGCTGCGATAATTAAAGACAGCTACAGTTTACTACAACTTCTTATGCCACTATTATTGCTTCTATGTTCAAAATTTTTTTTCATCAAATAACCTAGAGAGAAAAAGCTAATGTAGTGTCCATTGTCCATTTGTGTAGATAAATCAGGGACAAAAACATTATTATTTATTACTTCAGAAGATGATCCCATTGGTAAACTGACATGAAAAGCACAAATGCTCTTATCATTCATTAAGAAAACCGACAGTGACAAACTTTTTTTTCTTCTATTTGTCAGATACGATTATTGACATAAAGTTAACTGGTATAATTTTGCTGATAAATACAGGGAGAACATTAGCAAAAGTAAGAATAGTCATTTAAAAATTTGTTAGTAAACTCACTGTATTTTTGACTGTCGGTCAGACAAAACAAGGCCTTCAGGGAATAATGATGGCGATTCATTTTTCATTTCATACAATGAGTAATTAAATGATTATTAAAGAAAGCAAATGTCAGATGTATTGATGATGAAAATAATTATTTCTTGTAACCTTACAGCACTTCTATGATGAAATACTACGACCTTGATTGAGATTTTCTGTGTCTTAATGACTTGACACAAGAAAAATTGTAGCAATTTGATAAAAACATGACTTTACAACAGCTGAAAGTAAACTAAAATATTTAAAACTAGATTTTTTGAGTCCGTCTACAAGACAAGACTACAAGCTGGAGGTTGGGGGACCTGTCATAGTTGATATCCTACTGCAGTGATACAAATTTCTAACAAATGTTTGATTAATCACATCATGTGCACAGAAATAATATGGAGTAAATCTAAGGCTTTTGGGCAGTTGCCCACTTTGACATGAACATCATAAAAAGACAAGAAGAATTACAAACCACACACCATATTTCCACATTGCCTGGAAACTTTTGGTGTAAAACAAAATGCATTATAAACGTGGAAAAGGAGAGATGAGGAAATATCATGGATGCTTGGTAAATGTGTCAAATACTTCCGGGTTTAAGGACTACAATCTGGAAAAATCACGTGATGATAGCTTCATCCCTGCCCCCTCCTCTCCCACCCATCATCCCCCTCTGCACCGAGCATCCCGGGGATAGAGGCGGTGTGTCTGTGCGCCTTTAAGAGCTGTCTATCCCGCTGCTTTCTGCATTAAATCTCCATCGCTGCTCTGCGAGGGCGAGAAAACACAGAAAGCCACGGCAATGTCCGCCAGCTCCGCTTTCAACGACGAGAAGGGGGGGTCGTCAAGCGTCGGTGAGCCTGAATATGGTCACGACCCGGCGAGCGGAGGGATTTTCTCCTCCGACTACAAAAGGTACGGAGCCACCTGCCTCGGTGCTGCTTGACGCCGTTTTTATTTGTCATATTGTGGGGGTTGTACCGGGGCAGCTTGTGGCGGGGGAGGTGCAGTTTCCTGTCTCTTACGATGCATTGGAAGTGTATTTTACTGTCAGTGGACGGAAGATAATTTTAAAAAACACCAGACTGAACTTTGTTTATCAGGCCCGTGATTGAAAGCGGCGTCTGCTTTTTTCTGGTCGTGAATGTCTCACCGTGATTTGAGCTGTAGTGTCAAATAAAGGCCTGGTGCTGAAGTGGACTTGTAATATATGTCCACTCGCTGGTCTGTGTTTAAAGCAGAGAGTTTATGGTGTTTAAATTGGCAGCATTTATGTCATGTACGTGCGGTGAGGTGTGAAAGGCCTGTCAGAGGGGATCCCAGGCCTCAGCTCCAGCTTTCAGCACCACCCCTGCTGGACAGCGCGCGGAGCGGCAGCAGCTCCGCGTGAGCATGGCACACACTGTACACCTGGAGACGTTATACACTTACCTGAAACAGGCGTTAGTACCTGTAATTAGAGAAACATTACATGTGAGACTTTATTCAATTATACTTAAATAAAAAAACAACAAAATAAGTCTGGGGATGAATGAGTTGCTTTTCCTCTCATTAGGTTTTTTTTTGTCTTGAGTTTGTCCTTGTTCTCATTCATGATCACAGTTATGTCCTTTTGATGTCTGTTTCATTCAGCACAGTGGATAGTCAAACGTAATAACAACAATAGCATCAACAATAATAATAATGACAATAAGGGCTTCAACTTAACTAACTGTTGACCTTAATGATTCATTTGCTGGATATTTTGGTGATTCACTGATTTACTGTTTGGTCTCTAAAATGTCAGAAAAAAAGTCAAAAACGCCCAAACTAAGTTCCCAGAGTAAGAGATAACTTCTGTGAAGTGTTTGTTTAGTCTGAACAGCATATTCTTAATTGTAACCCGACTGATATTTTAGGGAATTTTTATAAAATGCAATAATGATATATTGGATGACCTAGTATTTATTTATTTATTTTTTACATAAACATCAGTCTTAATACAGAACTCTTACATGAGTGGGACATTTTATAGTTGAAAAACCAACTTTCTCTGTTCTATAAATACATAATAAAGACCCTGTTTCTAAATGAACTCAAACCTATAGTTTGAGTAGCATTTCTGTGCAGGAATTCATTGTTGTTGTTATTGACAAATACAATACATCTGCAATACGCAAATTTAAGGTGATTTATCGTTCCAGCTCTATTCTAAACCAAAACATATTCTGTTTAATACCATGTAAAACATAAAAAATGAATAGGAAAGTTTCACATTTGAGAGGCTGAAACCAGCATTTTTTGTCAAATTTACTGAAACAATTGTGTAGAGATTAATTTCTTGTTGATTAATCAACTAATTGTTTAAGCTTTTGATATGATATGATGATATGTAAGCATGCAAATGAGTGGCATAGTAGATATCAGACTGCCATCATACAGGGAGCCGCAACAACAGGGCTGGTATTTGGTTTCACCTTGTGACTCTGTGTGTGTCTCTATATGACAAAATGTGGTCCATGTGGTCCTGGAGACATGTACTGTAGCAAGAACTACCACAGAGACAGCTTTGAGTACTTTGGCAGGTGTTTATATGTCTGTCTGTTGCAACTGTGCGAGATACAGTCACCAAACTTTACAGGTTCAAAGATGGGTGTGGTCCGACCCCATGAGTACTTAGAACTCATGTAAAAATGTAAAAATGACTACTGACCTGTGGGTCAGAATGTCAGCATATTGATGGAAGTTGTGGCTGGTGTGAACCTGAACTAGAAACCATCTTACAATGGGATTACACCAGCTGCGACACCCATCAACATGTTGATATTCTGACCCATGAGAAGTTAGAAGTCATCACTACGTTATTACATGAGCACTAAGTGCTCACGAGCACGACCATGGACAGACAGACAGACAGACAGACAGACAGACAGACAGACAGACAGACAGACAGACACACACACACACACACACACACACACACACACACACACACAGACAGACAGACATGTAAACACTTGCCAAATTACTCAAAACTGCCTCTGTGGTATATCCCACTACAGTAGGTGTCTCCAGGACCATATTTTGTCATGACACACACACAGACACATACAGTTGGTAACAATGTAAAGCAAAAAGATAACACTCACATTTCCATGGTTACACTGAAAGATTTATTGGTTATAGGACATGACTGCAATGTAGCCTTTAGTGTGTAAGCTTTTAAAGCAACACAATGCAGTTAACAGTCCACCAAAGAGGCTAGATCATCAATTCCCTTACTGCAGGTGTATTGGACAAAAACTGCTAAATTATTCATCTGGGCAACAGGAATAGTCTTAAACATGAAGCTGCCAAACACAGTCCACCTGCATCAACAGATTTCTCATTGTGGGCGGAGACTTTTAGGTCAGGTCAGTTAGTACAATAAAGTCAGACGTCCTGAACAGGAACAATTTGTTCTTCCAGGTTTCTTTTTACATACAGGAGGACTGTCCTCAGGCTGACCAAAGGACAGTGCAGGAACTCAGTGTCATTATAACGGCTTTCTCAGAAAGCAAATCCAATGACACTAGTTCATTTAAACTGCTTTTACCTTATCACTTTTGTAAGTATCCTCACTGAAATTGACTTACAGTGAGGGAGTAAGATACAGAGAGGTGTTCTTGGACATGATTAACTGTTATGAAAGCTAGACAGATAATAAATGGCTTGTATAGTTTATTGAACATTGGCAAGTTTTACTTTTTATTCATCAGACAGTGCTATATGTTTCACAACGACACACTTTCTTTTATTTATTTTTAATTCTTAGTCGATGCAATATGATGTAACAGTCTGGGCCTGGGTTACAGCTGGGTAAGGAACTGATTTTCACTGTTAGGCATCTTGAATTTACTAGTTGTAATATTTTCATATCTAAGACCTTATGCTGTTGATTTGTGAGTACGGAAGACACCATAGATTAATGCTGATGCAATGTTTGTTTAACTTTGTGAGGAGGAGATGAAGGCATTTATATAAAGAAAGATGAAAATGGAAATCAATGATTATCTTTTTATTGCCATATGATGACATTAAGGATAACATATGAGACAATAATTGGGCTGAGGACTGAAGTCAGAACAGCCAGGTCAAGTCAGATCTTCACTGACTTGACAATGTTCACAAACATTTAGAGGAAGAAAAGAACATTTTCAGCTACATTAAGGCAGTTTCTTTACTGCATCTTGGTATCTCTATAGGTCTTTTTCGACTTTTTGACTTGTTTTTGGAAACTTATTTGGAAATGGTCAAATGAAGTAAAAATAGTAGTGTTGTTGAGGGGGTCATGAAGCTTAATTCATTGACATAAAGGAGCCTTTGTATCATCAACATATGCTCACGGCTCTGCACACCTTTTCACTTGGGTTGATTAGGCCTCTATTATTTTCCTCATGGCTCAGTTCCATTAAGTTTCGTATCTTTCAAACTATAATTTTTTTGCATATTGTTCAGCTGTGTAGTGAACTGATCTTTGGGTTGTGAGTCAGAGAAATCACAACATTATCTGTGTTCTACAACATTTTTCTAGAAGTTGTTGCTGTTCGCTGATTATTTTATAGACCAAGTTATTAATCAAGAATTTAATCAACAGATAGATACAGTGTTCTCTGTTGACTTGTGGGTATTTCATTTTGCACCTGTTCTCTCTGCATGTATGTCAATTTGGTAACAGGTCTAATGGCACTGCATCACTGCTTATTACCTTCACTGTTGCTCCACTGAAGCTGCTAATGAAACTGTGCAGACTATGTGAGTCAAGCAGCATCAGCATCACCAGCTCATTTAAACAAGCTTCAATAAGCACCAGTAACTATAAGTCTCCAGCAGAGGGAGCTCATTGTTTATAGATGGCAGATTTGTGGGTGTGAACTGCAACCTTTGGATGTGGAAGATGAGGTTTTGCCTTGAGGCTGTTCGGCAACTCATAGTCATTAGTTTTTAAATCCAGCCTAATTGTCTGAAAGCGTCGGCTGCTTGTTCTTGTTATGCAGATGTGTGTTTGCAGAAGCTGATGTCTCCTCAGAGAAGGTAGTTTAACCAGTTTGTCTGTAAACACGAGGGTGAAAGCGCTGACTTCACTGTCGTCTCCCTGGAAACGTGGCGGGTGTCAAATGTTGCTTTAGTTCTCAGACCATGTCAATCTCTCTGTGTTATTACCCTGTGCAAAAAAAACTACCTTTTAAAAGGTGTTTACTGTCCTTCAGCATGAAGTGACTGTTGTAGGTTTAACAGGGTTGTTGATGGATGTCAGTGATTATTTCTCTGCCTGGTTCTGAGATGTCAGAGTCAGAGAGTCTGGATTTCTGGCTTGAGTCAAATCAAGAATCATTTTGTATTTTACATGTTGACAGTTGTCTTTCTCAGCTGACGTTTCTGTGAGATCTTTGGCTTTTTTTCAGGTTCATTTTAAATTTCTGTCAATTACATCATACCAAAAGCTGTGGCAAACACATCTGTGTTGTTTTCAGCTTCCTTGCCCCCTCCCTCCCCAAATGCTGATGAAAGTCAAAAATTGCAGTTTCAAAAGAAATATTATATATATATATACTGTATATATATATAATATATATATATATATATATAGAATGTAAGTATTAAATATTTTGCTTTCATGCTGAAAATTAAATGAGAAGCTTATGTTAGCATAAAGACTGAAACAGCTTGCCTGGCATTTATCAGCACCTGTAAAACTGACTCATTAACATGTTGTATCTTACTTGTCTAACTGGCACATGTTGTACTTTTACAGGAGGCTACGTGCCAAGCTTCTAGCTGTTTCCAGGTAACCACCTGCTGCCTGTAATCTCATATTTAATGTACAGACATATCCAGCTTCTCATCTCAACTCAGAAAGCAAATGTATTTCCCAAAATGTCAAACTATTCCTTTTT